CTTGTTCCATCCGGCCCAGTCGCTGCCGAGGAGTCTGGCAGTCTGAGCCCCGTGTCGAGAGCGGTGTTAGCTGCCTGGGTTTTGTGCATGGTGCTGTAGTGGGAACAGTTTACTGGCCAGAGGAGGGGGAATTCCTAGAGCAGCCCCCTTGAAATGTGTCTAAACACCTGCTGTCTGGTGTACCTGAGGTGGATCTGGGCTCATCTGGAGGGAAACTGCTGGTAGGTGTGTGTACCCACGGCACTGGTGATCCACCACGCTTGCTGGTGGGGTGGTGGGGAGGGGGGCGTGGGAAGAGGTGAGGAAGAGCTGGGATTGCGTGGTAGGCATGAGCACCTCTGAACAACGTGGGTGCAATGAGGTTCCCTAAATGGTTTTGGGCTGCACAGGAGGAACAAAATCCCTGCAGCAGTTTGTTCTGCTGGGCTGGGGGGAGGGAACTATGTAAAGCAGCGAGATAATACAAAGTGGCGTTGCTAGAAATACTGAAACCTCCTCCTGCTTATGGGCTCTCCAGCAGATTCCTGGAAACGGCCATGTGCCCAGGCTGCAGGTTGTAGAAGCTGTCAAGATGTTTAATAAGCAGAGACTTGACCCCGGTGGTGGGAGGGCTGTGAATGTTGCTGAGAGTGAATTGAGATGGCGCGCGCGCACACGCTGTAGTTACACCGGTTGGGTTGAAGGGCTTGTTAATGGATTGATCTCTTCCAAGTCCGTTAGGAGCTTGATGCTTGGTGGAGTCACAAGGGCTGCAGATGAAGGATTGGAGGGAGCAGATTAGTGATAAGAGGCTGAACAGAGTGGTCGTTAAAATGAGTCCTCATTAAAATGCTCATCCAAAAAAATGTCCCAGCAGTGGACTGAGGTAGGACCAGCCCTGCACTGCTCTGGTGAGGAGGATGTGAATAAGGTACATGAATGGAGAACCCTCTCCTGAGCAGCTGGAACACACGAGGACAGGCAGGTGACACTGCGGTGTTGTAGATCCTCTGAAAGAGAGGAGGAGATGGCAAGACCAAGCAAGTTTCTTAACGTATTTGCTTCTGTGGTGTATCATAATTCAGTGGCAGATTGTCTTGCATTTGTGTTCAGCTCCTGGAAGCTTCTGTCCTCCCTCACAGCTGGGTACCTCGTTTTCTGCTAGGCTGTCCCAGCTTCCCAAAATCTGAAGAGCGTACAGAGGCTTGTGTTAAAGCAGCGTGCTCCTTCCTTCGTTACATGCCTGACAAAAATTATGTAAAGATCAGCGACAAGAGCACTTTTTTATTATGTAATGGAAGCACTGAATTGAAATCGTAATTAGTTCATACCCCAAATACCCTGAAGCAAATTACTAGCAATTCTGTCTGTAATAAAGCAGGCGAGATGTTGCTGTTAAACCTGGAGTGGTTTTCCCAGCAAGGGCCGGAGGTGGAAGGTGCGCAGGAAGGGCGCCGCTCCCGCACTCGGCCGTCTGGCGTGCTGGTGTCGGGGGTGTGCGACTCCGTGTTTCGCGTCCATGTTGACACAAACAGGCTTGTGTCTCTGTGCAAAATCCTGCTCTGCTTGCGATGTGAGATCTGCTTAAAGGCTCGCTGCTGCCAGCCACACAGCCAGCCGGTTGGAAGGAGCCGCGCCAGGACGGGGCTACGTCTGCTCTAGGTTTCCAGGAGAAGACGCCGGTGCAGTAGCAGCGTGTCCTGGCTGGTAGCGGTAGAGGCCTTTTCGCACTGGATGATCGTGACTTATCACTGCATGCTGCAAGACAGCTTCATCCAAAAGTTGTTGAGGGTTTGGTCTCAGTGGGTGGGTTTTCCCTGTTCTTTGAATTTCTTAGCTCTGTTCTCTTCCACCTTGCTGATCTCCTGCTGTGCGTTGTCACTGCTGCCAAACCCTTGCGTATATAACTTAAGTTCTTCGGCAAATTACTCCTTACCTCTCTTAGTGGTGTGCCTGGGCTCGTCAACTGCAATCAGCCCGGTTCCATGTGCTGTCTTGCCTTCTTACCCTGCTTTCAGGAAACCGAGTGGTTCATACAAGATACTTAGGTCCTAGAGGCTTATCCTAAATCACAGAGCACAGCAGCTGTTGGGGCAGGTTAACTGCTGCCTGACTACTCCCCTCTTGCTCTCAAAGAAGAGGAGAAGTATAGGAAAAACAACTGAAGAGTGAAGCCTTCATGGCAAAGGTTATGTATGAGGTAGAAGTGGTGGGGATGCAGCTGGCGGCATTTGAGAGGAGCATGTGCAGCAAGATTTGCTGAGTTAGTCTGTGTCATAGCTATGAGCTTTAGAGCCGCTGTGAGCGGTGGTTGAGCTCTGCTGTTTGGAATAAAGCAGAACCAAAGCAGCCCAGTATGATTTGGTTCCTGTCCTTGCTGCAGAAGATGGCAGACCTAGTACTGAGCAGCTGGCCTGTCGAGTACCATGCAAGTGCTTGCTCCTGACTCAAGGGTTTAAGGAAAATCTGTCCCTTTCAGGCTGGAGGGAGGGGACAGTGAAGGGAGCATCTCCTTCCTGGAGGCAGTTGTGCAATGTGGTGCTTTGGTGTCCAGGACACATCATTTTACTGGGGGTGAGCCTGGAGCTGTGTTCCGCTGCTGCCTTGCAGTGGTCTTGGCTTGTGCTGGGTTGATTTGGCTTTCCCCGTTCTCAGGATGATTTTCAGAGCCTACAGCATGTCCTCTGAAGGGCTTCCGAACACCCACCTGATGCCCGCACCAAGAAGGAAACCAGTGCTTGATTTGTTTCGCGGAGGGGTAATGCAGTACCTTCAGGTGCAGCGAGGCTGGGTTGCCCCGTGCTCTTGGCGTGTGCTGGGCTGCTTTTGTGAAAGATGCAGCGTCGCTTGGCTGCCCTCTGGGAGGGGAGAAGGAGGGTTTAGCTGGCACTGAGCATAGTCCTCTGCCAAGCAGTTTGGGGTTTTCCTGTGAGTGTTACAAAATGTGTGGAGGGCTGTGGTCATCCTGAGTTGGCTTCATGGCCGAATTTCCTCTCTGCTAGGAAATCAGCATTCCCCTTTCTGCAGCGTTTGCCCTCCCCAGGGCAGGCAGGCAGCCAGGTGGTGTTCTGCAAACGCCCTCTGGTTTGCTGCGAAGAGTAGTGGGGAAGTTTGTGATGTGCCTGTGTGCTAAGAGGTTACAATTATGTGATCTAGGAGGGACTCCGGTCCAAGGTCCCGCAGCTTTGGAAACGTTGGCTTGCCTGGATCAGCCTTAGGTTACTAAATGCAATAATTGGGTTCTTTGACATCCTTAGAAGACAGCTAATGCTCCAGCAGGATGGCGGCAGCTTGGATTTAAAGACTTTCTGGCTGTGCACCAGTTCTGGCACCTATTTGAGTCATTCACTGCATTAGCTGTGCAGGGAAGGGAGGCAGGTAGAGGCTCCAAAAGTACGAGGGCTGAAATAACGCGTGTGTCTTAAACTTGCTGGTTTTTGCTGCCAGCTCTTGACTGAATGAGGTCAACTGCCAGTCCCGAGACAAAGATTAGAGGAAACAGGCACCCAAACAACAGCTAGCTGTCAGGACCCCACTAACCAGTGGTTTTGCTATCGTGCAGAATCTGAGTGCCGGGCTGCCCTCAGGACAGATCTGCCACGATGAGCAGCGGCTGGAGGTGATCTTCACAGATCTGGCCAGGCACAAGGACGATGCTCAGCAGCGCAGCTGGGCGCTCTATGAAGATGAGAACGTCATATGCTGCTACCTCGAGGAGCTGCTTCGTATCCTGGTGAGTAAATTTCTCTCTTTACAGGCAGAGCAGAGAGCCCTGGTGAAGTTCCTTTTTTCTGACCTCTTTCGCCCCTGTGTTGCCATCGGATCTGCAGTTTCACAGGGCATAGGTTTCTTGTGCATCCTTTACTGTCACTGTGAAGCCCTGCCCTCCTGCGTGGGTCTGCAGTGCTCTTGAGCTGCCTTCCACTCCACCTCACAAAGCTGTTCTGATAAGAGTTATAGAGCCGTTTTTCATGGTAGCTGTGGTATTTACCTATCACAGGAGAATATAAACGCTCACCTGCAAAGAAACCCAACCTCCCACAGAAAACCTAGAAGTCTGCTGTGGAGGTTGTTGCACTCCTAGGCCTGTTTAAAACATCTTCTATTTAAAACATCCTCTGTGGTTGGAAAGCACCTGCAGGGTGAGGCCCATTAAATGCAAAGAAAATTCTTTGGTTACCTTGAAAGTGAGCTTTAAAGCTATTTTTATGAGAAAGTATAGTGTCTCACCACATCTGTGCATAGAGGAGAGGTACATCCCTGTAGCGAGCAGCAGTGGGAAATACTGTCCCAATGCTGTCGCTAGCACGTACAAGCCCATCTGTGTACGGGGAGCATGACGACATGGGAGCTGCCACTCAGCGCAGTGGCATGGTCTGTGTTACGGGTGCCAGTGTGAGGTTTGTTCTGGCACCTGTTTTGTGTTCCTCTCCAGTTCTGACATAAGCAGAATAGATACGGTTTTTTGCACAGTAAATGCCAATGTCTTTATTACTCAACATATGGCCTGCGCCGCCTCGCCGTGGGCCTGCAGGGCAAGGCAGAGGGGGATTTTGTGCAACAGTTTCCTCATAACTTAGGGGTGGGAGAGATGTACAACACTTCTCAGGATGGAAACGGTGCTGGAGGTGCCTGGTGTAACTGCATGGTGCATCAAGGTGCTGCTCAGGTCATGGTTTTTTTAGAGGTTTTCAGCCCCAGACGTGCTGTATGGCAGAGATGTTTCTCAAGAATTCACTTTGCAGTATCTGCAGGGTGGCTGTTCTTGAGCTGTTTTTGTGCTCTGCCTTCAGTTTCTTTGTGAGATGGTTGTGCTGAGGCTACTGAGATCTGAAAGCAGCTGGCCTCCCTCGAGGTCCCCGCAGGAGGTACCTTGCTCCTTTGATGTGCCGCTGGGCTGTTTTTTTCCTGCTTCCACACAGATGCAGACCCAGAAGTTTGCAAGAAAATGTGCAAGAAGAATGAGTTTGAATCCGTCCTGTCCCTTGTGGCGTATTATCAGATGGTAAGGTGGCAGAATGCATCGCATCTCTTTTTGAGATTTCCCTGAAGGTGCAAAAGAGCAGGGTTGCTATGATGAATATATGTAAGATATTCCCCTGGACAGGGTAGTTCTGTGAACCAGGAGGAGTTGCAGCACCTCCCTTTTGCATGCTGGCTAACGTCAATGCTATGCGTGCAAGTTGTGTGGAAGAGCAGAGGATGCTGTAGGCTTCGAAGCAGTAGCTAGCACTGTGAAGGGTAAAGCTTGCTGCTTTTATTAGCTCCATTGAGGGACAGAATCGGCATCGCTACTGTCTAGAGGAAGGATTTCCGAGGATGCCTTGGGAAAGCTGACAGGCTGTGACTGCTCCTTTTATAATTGGACGCACTCCTGTGCATTGGTAAATAGCATTGCTTAGGAAAGTAGGTTGTGAGTAGAAGCCCTGGGAGTGAGGAAGGAAATCGGTATTCAGAGGAAGAAATGGAAGTTTTGCCTTCAATGCCTATGCGGTGTTGCTTTGCCCCTCTCCTTCCTGGAACGTGCTGCTGTAGGACTCAGTGGGAGTTGGAGACTTGTCCCCATCTTGTCCCTAATTCTCCAGCTACAGCACAGCAGGTCTTGTGGCATTTAGCTTTCATCTGGCACTTCTGTATCTGAACTCAGAGCTCAGCATCAGGGGGCTGTAGCGTATCTGAGAGTGGTGGGAAGGCAGGCTGGGCATAATGGAGCTTTCTGGCTTTCACTGCCTGCTCTTCGCTGACCAGGATGCCGAGGAGGCCTGGCCAGGTGGAGAACGGTTGGCTCTCCTGTCCTGGCTGCTGGTGTGCCTGGTGCCAGTGCTTGGCTCACTTCTGTCCTCTGAACCCTGGAGTTGTTAGCTGAGGCTGGAGTATGAAGGCTGCCCCAGCACCGGAGCTCCTGCATGGGAGCTGCGGGTTGAGTGTTGTCTTTGCTGGAATCCCTGCACGTCCCAAAACTTGCTGGTTATATACCCTCTGCTCCCAGCACAAACCCGACAGCCTCACAGTGGAGGAGCTGCTCCCATCCTGTTCATTAACCATCACATGCTGAAGAGGGTTTGCCTATATTCTGTTGTCAGGAAACTGCCTTCAGAGCAGCATTCGCAAAACCTCGGTGTGCTCAGAAAATCCTGGCTACCCAGCAAATTAAATCTGTTTGCTGGGGACGGGTATAGGTTGTTGATTTGTCTCATATTTAGTGGATGAAGAGGGGTGTTTCATATCTGAGCTCTGGCTGCCGCATGTGCCAACAACCTGTAGGCAGCCCAGGTGTAAACGTTATCGTAAAATGACTCCTGTGCTGATGTTAAAAGCTAGTAGAGCTTCTGGGTTCACTGTCACCCTGGGAGGGTCTGTGGCTTCCCAGCAGCAGGAGCTTCTAGCCAGTTATGTCTCTGCCTTAGTCAGCCATCATCCGGGACATCGTTTCTTCTAATAAATTGTTTTTGCAGGAACACAGGGTGCCGTTACGGCTGCTGCTGTTGAAGTGCTTTGGAGCCATGTGCAACTTGGATGCTGCAGTCATCTCAACGCTTGTAAACTCTGTGCTGCCGATGGAGCTGGCCCGGGACATGCAGACTCACACACAAGGTGAGCCAAAGCTGCTGTACCCAGGTCCCCAGGAACGTGTCTCTCCATTAGATGATTTACAGCAGCACTGGTGGCCTGGCTGCTCGACATGCCCAGTGCTCTCGGGAGAATGGTGTCTGGTTTTAAAGTTATTCGGGTTATTACAGCTCCAAGTGGAGAATGCATGGGAGGGGACGTTTCAGTCCAATGGTGCAAGGCTCTCTAGTTCTTGAACATGCCATTAATGATCTGCATCACTTCTTGTAGATGTCTTGAAGCATATTTTGAGCTCTTCCAGTTTTGTTTCATGATGCTGACAATAGACACCTGCAGATCTCAAGGAAGATCTCTGCAGCTTCTTACAGGCAGTTTTTCTCAGCACTCTACACCAGATCTTTGCAGTGTTTCTGGCTGGTGGATGAGATGTAGGCTGGTTAAAGGGAAGGACCTTCTCTCAGCCATTGTACCAAGGGAGGTGGTAGTGCTGTTAACAAAGTTGCAGTTCTGATCCTCTGCAGGATAGTGCCACAGCCTGCTTTCCCCAGCTCTTTGCTTTCCATACCCAGGCTTGCCCTCACGTTCCTTCTAGTTCTCCTGCTCTCTTTGTTAGGATAACCTGTCCCTGCTATCAACAGGAATGTCATTCCTGCCCTTGGAGCACCATGTGCTCAAAAGCTCGGAGGTGGTGGTGTAGTCAGATTTTGCTAACATTATCCATCAGAGCTCCGGAGACCCCTCCCAGTGTCCTTTATCTCGCAGCAGCCAGGAGCAGATGCCGAGAAAGAGCCTAAGAACGAGGTGAACATGTAGTAATGCTCTGCTGACGTTACCTTCCAGCTCCTCACGCATGCCTGGCCCTAGGTGGTCACAGCTTTGCTCCCCACTTTGAAGTCAGCCTGTAGGCCATCAGTGCTGGCAGTGGCATATACTACTTTTTCCCTTAAAGGGATATTGAAAATCCATTGTTTTGTGCTAATCATGACCCACAATTAAAGTAGCTGTTGAGTGACCATGTGGATCAAATCTGAAGAGTCTCAGTGTCCAGAGCCTTGCTGTCCTCATTGCAGTCCGTAGCCTGTTGGTTTGCTACGGGTGTCCTGGAGCTGTGGAGAGGTAGAATTTGGTGATGAGACTGTGTAGGAATTGACAAGTCTGCGCAGAACAGGCACCATCACATCCATTTCATGTGAGCCAAGTAAATGTCCAAGATGACCACCTTGGATGTGCATAATAAACATCTCTGTCCCCAGCATCCCACCACAGACTGTGCTAACGCAGCGCTGGTGGACAGGAGTAACGGGGCCAATCTGGTATCTGGAAAGGGGTATGAGAGGTGAAAATCAAGCCTGTTGCAGAAGGCTTTGTGCTTGTCTTTGCTTAGATGCTTTGAAGTGCAGACGTGTCAAAGGTGGGGAGTGTCTGAGAAACAGTGTTTCAGCTCGGGGCAGGGCAAAGCACTGGTGGTGTCATGCAGGACTTGAGATCATTTCACCGGTGTTGGCTATGCTTTCTCTTTGTGTTACTACTGCTTATCAATTCTGCACAGTGAACTTGCCACACTGTTGATGTTTTAGCTGGTTATGCATGAGAAGCTTCTTCTCTAGGCTGAGGTTTTGCTGCCCAGGAAGCAATTAATACTTGGTTATGGGACTATGACTGTGCTTCTGTGGCAACGTTACTCCTGATTTTGTGCTGCCAAAAATAAACTTTGTCGTCCATCCATCACTAATTCATAAAGACTGTCTCCAGGTGAGCAGCTTCTGCACCATGCCCGGACAGACTTCAGTCTCCTGCTCTGTTCCCCAGGCTGCCTTTGTGCAGGCAGGGCAGGCTGGTCACCCTCATTACTCCTTGCCTGGCCGCAGCGTTGCTGCCCAGGGCATTTTGCTGGGGCTGCGACACCCCAGATAGCACAGCTAACTCAGCCTCTTGAGATGATGGAGCATCAAGCTCGGACCTAGGTGACTTCTGCATGCCTTGGCTGATCTCCACATAGCACTTCTGGTTGAAGCAGGCCTATCTCCCAGCAAGTGTTACCTCTGCTTTGGGACCTAAACAGCATTGCAGTGAAAGGGAGTGAAGAGTGGCTCTGCTACAGACTCCAAACTGCCAACCTGCAGCTCTGCAGCATCTCTGCTTTCCCTAACTTCATCTCAAGGTGAGGGTTTTTTGTCCATCCTTGCTGCAATACATAGGCAGTACAGTCAAAGGGGGAAAAGCTGCTCTTCCTTTGCTGGCAAGACCGCTTTGATTACTGGAGCCTCCCAAATTGGTGTCCTGATCCTGTGCTGCTTTCCTTGTGCTACGCTTATGGTGGGCGCCTGCGCAGATGTCGTCTGTGCGGCATTCAGCCCTCTTGGCCTTCACAGCAGGGCTGCAGAGAAGTAACCATCCTTGATCCAAGCAAGTCTGTCCTTCAGAGGTGTTTTAGGGCATTAGTAGTTCCCTCCTGCCATGCTGGTGCTTACTGCTCCATATCCTGCCAGCAAATGGCAAGCGGTACCTTGTGTGAAAATGTGACCTTGAATCCTAGAATGACTTGAGCTTATTTTGGTACTAAAAACTGGGGAATAGCAGCTGATCCGCAGCATACTGTGGAATAGCTAATCCCTTCTGCGGATGGCAGGGGCCAGAGCAATCAGTGCCAGCAGTAAACGACTGGGGAGCGTTGAACTGGCAGCAGCAGCTCTGTGGGATCCCTCCTGGCTTGTTACTGAAGAGCAGCCGAGGCAGAAGCTCTGTGCGTGGATGCTGGGTGCCTTTGATGAGAAGGCACTTTACCCTGGGGCTGGTGCAGACGTGCTGGCTGCTGGCCAGTTCTTCTGCCAGATGCTTGGGTCTTACTGCTTCTGGACAGCCACTCCCCTCGGCTGCAGCTGGCCTGCACATCTACCAGTGTTAGAAGAGCTTATAATAAGCCACAGTGAGGCAGAATTAGCCAGAACAATTCCAAAGAAAACAGACAGGGATAATCCGGTCTGTAATCATGACTTTCTTCCTTGTTGCACCTCAGTGTACATGTGAGTAAGCTGTCGGGCTCTTTTCACTTCAGTTGTGGACCGTTGTGTCTGCTTCCAGTGCCCGGATGTTGCACTGCTGTGTTCAGAGGTTGGAAGCAAGGTGTTCAAAGGCCTCTGAGAAATACCTTTGATACGTAATAGCAGCTTTCTTACCAGCACCTCAGCAGGCTGCAGAAATGCAGGTTGGTGGGCAAACAGCCGCCTCTCTCCTGCCCTTCACGACAACTTGTGATGCTTATCAGTCTGTCATCAGCAGAGTCCCTCTGCCTCAGGAGAGTTGCGTTAATGCTATTTACTGTCTTGCAGCCACTGGTACTGCTCTGGAAGGAAACGTTGCTTTGACTGGCAATTACTTTGTTTTTCAGTGTGGTGAATCTTGGATGAGTCTTGCTGCAGCTGGGGCACTCCAAAAACTTGTAGAGTCTGTGCTGAACAAGTACACCGGGTTAATCTGGATTTGTCCTGAGTTCAGCTTTCTGACTGGTTTTGGCATCCTTAGGCAAATACGACAGGATTTGCCACCTAGTAGTGGAGTCTGCTGTCAGCCAAGATGAATGGACATCAGTTCATGGCAGATGGGCCAAGGATGTGTAAAGCTACCCTCCCTTGTCCCATCTCTAATTAGTCTCTTCCTCCATATTTGCTACAACCACATGCTTATCATTGGCTTCTGGTTCTCAGATCGTTATTTCATTGTTCCTGACGTGATGAGAGAAAATGTTTTATTCGTGAAAGCTTTACTAGGAGCATGGGAACAGCAGATCCCTATGTCTACCTACCGCAGAATCCTGCCTCTGATACCCAGCTCCTGAAGCCACGGATATAAAAATGAAGCAGTGTGTCAGATTCTTTTTCTGCTACAGTGAGCTTTGGCATCACTTACACTCATAGCTGAGAGCTGCTTACATAAGTATGAATTACATTTAAGTCAGTGAATATCCTCCGTCTCTGTTTACCAAGAGTAACAGGAGTTTCCAGCTTTCCTTTGCTACCACATAGTATAGAGTGCTCTCCTACAGACTCTTAATCTTGTTAATGCTGTAGTATCTCTGGTTAAGCCCCCAATGATCTATTTTCACTCAATGTATTGCTGTTTGAAAACTCAGACATCTCGTGGAGCTCTGACAAAGTCTACATGTTCTTTGTTTATAGAGCTGACTTTCCAGGGACACGAGGCTGGAATGATTTGCTAGCGTTTTTTTCTCCCGTGCTAACAGTAAATCTGAGAGCTGCCAAGTGTTGCAAGTCCTTTGGCTAAGTCCAGGAGTATGTGGTGACAGTGAAGGCATCAGCCTGTGCAGTCAAAACCAAACTGCAGGGTGCAGGTGCTTGGAGATGGATTGATTTGTGCATAGAGAAGTGAAATGTGTTAAAGGGTTTGGAGGGGGGACTGGAACCAGCGCATGTCGTGCAGGGAAGCAGTACTGTTGGGAGAAGCATCATACGTTGAAGGGATTTTTTCCTTCTCTAATAAAAAGTACCTTTGGTCAGTTTTTTATAAATACACCCTCAGTTTCCTTGTAACCAGTGCCCCTAGGCTGTTTGTGGCAGATATAGCTGAACTTTAGTTAGCCAGTATGTGTGGTAACCTACTTTATAAAAATAATACTGCTTTTCCTACCATCTTCAGACTTGTTGAACTTAATGGAGGCTACATTTGATGATGATACAGATCCTATTCCATGGCTTTTTTTTCTTCTGCAAATATCATTTGAGGTGTATCCATTAATTAAAATTAAGGAAAGGCACCGGCTGTGGTTCTCTGGAGCATTCGGGTATAGCTGCTGCCAGGGAAAATTGTGGTGGACTGGCAGGCTGTGGGACATCAATGCTGGAGACACGTGTGGCCGGGGAGGTGGGCAAATGCACAGCCTGAGTCACGAGCAGGGATCTGGTCTCCCCAGAGACCTTTTGTACCTCCAGGCAGAGCTGAGGTAGCGAAAGTAGAGCAGTGCGGAGACGGTAACAAGCAGCATAGCTGTCCGGGGGTGGTGTTGGTTGGAACAGGCGGCATTTCAAGGTGGCCAGATGGATGCTTTTTCTGGGTTCAGTAGTTGCATAACTATGGGATGTGTCCTGGGACTGTGCAGGGGAGGTTTTTAATTATTCAGATCAAGTTTGCCCAGATCCTCTTAAGCGTAGGGGAAAAAGATTGAGAATTCTTGCCATGATTATTTTTAAATTGCTTTGGAAACGCATGGCACAGAAGGCGTGTGGTGTGCTTAAACAGGGGGAAAAACACCCTTATAGCTCAATAAAACCAGGAACAAGGAGCAGTCTAATCGGTGTTAAATGTCTGTATGAAATGTATGACTTCCCAGCTGCAGCTCGGGAACAGTGTCCCACATCCTCAGAAGAACTAATGGCAGGACCTTTGTCTTGCAGATCATCAAAAGATGTGCTACTCTGCACTGGTGCTGGCAATGATGTTCTCCATGGGGGAGCCCCTGCCACAGCATCACTATGGTAAGAGTAGCTTCTGCTTATGGCTTGGCAGGGTAGCAGAGCTGGTGGTGGGACATCTGGGGCATGCCAGCAGACACAGGGAAGGGACCTTTCGTGGTGGCCAAGGTGGGGAAAGCCCAGCATGAGCAGGGCAAGAGCAGGGTCTGCTCTTTATCAGTAGAGCCTGGCTGCTGAAACACTGGGCTGAGATGCCAGATTTCCAGGGAGAGCAGTGCAGATCGGGATTAGGGCAGTGGAGGACTGATGCCATGCTGCAGAAGAGGTGGATTTGCCCGTCACTAAGCCACGTTTTGTTTTACCACTGCCCTGTGTGAAAGCAGGCACCTCTTGTCTCGGAGATGCTCTGTCTGCAGAGGAGGCTGAGAGCCTGGATCACTCCGTGAACGCCCACTAAAGCTGTCAGCTGCATGATGTGGCCTTTTCCTGCTCTCCCTTCGAACAGGATGGTGCAGCCCTGTGTGTTGTAAGCTCTTAGGGAAAGCAGAGATGATTAAGGGTACTGTAGTCAATTAAAAAGTACAAATGTGCCAGATCTGTCTGTTTTATCCTCTGTCCTTTCATTCCAGTCTTCATCCTGGAAAGCCCTGCCTGCCTGCTTCTTCCCCAGGCCCTGTGGTGTTCCCCCTACCTGGGAAACTCTGGGCTCAGTTTTCCTAGAAATGCAGTAGAGATTTTTATAAGCAACTCCTCGGCACCTTCACCTTAACACCCCGGTAAACACATACAGGATCTAGGTTGCTGCAGTAGAGACTGTGGAATGAGACTCCACACCTCCTGCTTTTCTCTCTTTGTGTAACCCTGGCAATTATTTCCTGCAGGTGGACTTATTATTTGCGTGAGCTCCTGAGCTCTTCTAATAGGTAAATTGAAAAATGGGTTATTACTAATGATCTGGATGATTACTTTTTTTTTAAATAGATGGATTAAACCAGTGGTGAAGAGCACAAATCTCTTCCTACTTGAGGCCTTCATTGGTGGCAGTGATGCTGCAACAGCAACTAGAGCAGGATTTGGTGTTTTGTTTACTCTAAAAAATTGCAAGTGGGGGACCAACTTTCAGTGTTCGTTTGCACTGTGGAATGTTCTGAGCCACTTCTCTTGCACACAGGCACTTCAGGGGTCTGTCTAGTCCACTTGCAGGGTTGTTAATTCCCTGAAGGCTGACACTGGCACTCCGCTAATGGTTTTTAAGGATAAAAGCACAGAGAAGTGGCTTGTGTGGTCCCTTGTTGCTTGGTTTATTTTCACTGTGCTGTAAGTGCCCCTCTTTCTCCTTGCGCAGAACATCTCAACTCTCAGTTTGTGCAGTTCCTGCTGGATGTGATTGAGGATGGTCTGCCCTCGGACGCCACCGACCAGCTGCCTGACTTATTTGTCAACGTCCTTCTGGCCTTCAATCTCCACATTCCAGGTCAGTTTGGTGCTGCTCTGCCTTGGCAGGATTTCAGTGGTCTGGAGTGAGGCGTGAGCAATGGGGAGGGAGAATCTCGCTGGGCCTTCATGGTGCTGTGATACCCTCTGCAGCTCCCCTAGCCTCCGGCAATACACTGTGTTTAAACACTGCGCAAAAACCTGGAGGAAGAAACAGTCTAAGCAGCCATGTCCAACCAGCTGACCCTCTGGGGCACAGCAGCTCTGTGAAGCCCAGCAGATTTCTCTCTGTACTTCCACACCGCCTGGGTCAAAGCAGTTGCTGGGCTGCACTTGCAGAACGTGAGTGGGGTTCTCCAGTGCTGGCCTGAGCTGCGTTCGCTCCGAGTGCCCTCAGTCTCTGTCCTCCCTCCCCTGCTGAGCTCCACCAGAGCAGACAGCATGTCTGGTCCCTAGAGAATCACAGAATCACAGAATAATAGGGGTTGGAAGGGACCTCTGTGGGTCATCTAGTCCAACTCACTGCCTGTGAGTTTTGAAGCCTGTTGTTGGAAGATTGGAGAGTAGTTCCAGGTCCTGCTAAGAAAGGCCACTCCTTATCCCAAAATCTCCTGTTGCTCCAATTGTCTGTAGTTAATTCCTTGCTCGTGTTCTGCTTCATGGCTTTATTCTTGGCTTCGTGGAGAGAGAGGAGGATAAAGCAGCAAGGACGTGTCCAGTAATTTACCTGTTATTTTGAGTTGTGCTTCATTAACATTTATGTGAAAGTTTCTAATTTCATGTGAAAGGTGACTGCATAAAGACTGATTAAGTATGGTCTCTGCTGCTTTCGTTCATTACCCCTTCTCATGCCTACCCATATAGTTTCTGGCTGCAGTAATTAGGCAATAATGCATGATGGGCTGTGTGTTTCTGGGGGATTATTGCCCACCGGGGGTGTAGCCGAGAGCAGTGACTTGTTCTCTGATGCTAAGAACATGTTAAATGATGTTCAGGTTGCTTATTAGTGGATTGAATTTTTATTCCTCTGTCTGAAAGATTCATCGTACAGTTCAGTGGTGCAGCATTAATTCAAAAAACTGTCCTAAAAGCATATTATATCGATGCCCTTCAATGTAAAGATCCTAAAGCGCTTTTCAGCCTGTGAGATATTATAGGGTTGCCAGCCCTGTGCCACAGAAGTAGCCACACTGTGCTGTTCGGATGCTTTGGAGTGTGCACACTCACACACGTGCACAAGGTCTGCTAGGGTCAACATATTTTAGCGACGACAGATCACCCCCAAAGCAGGCTAGGAGACACTTCCTAGAAGTCTTCAGCCCCTATCCTTGCACAGCCCAGAGCCGAGTGCTGGGAAGAACTTTTTCCTTCTGACATGGCACCTGGTCATCCCTTCGTATGAGCCCTTGCAAGGCAATGAATTCCAGCTAGGCACTGCTGGCACGAACTATGAAGATACCAGAGAGTGGAGCCGTTGGCTTCAGAGGGTTGGGAGCAGAGGTAATGTTTGACAACACAAAGCCTTTGCAAGGTGTTTGGGCTGGCAGGACTGGAGCCCACATGTGAATCAGATGCTTGTAGTAAGCACAAAGTCCTAAGTGTTTCATGCGTTGTTTCTGCATTTATTTCACTGTCCCTCTCCCTGCCCACCCACTCTGGGGCTGAAACTTCTCATAGCCCTGACAGACTGTGGTTCCCCAAAGCTCCCCAGAGCACTTGTGCAAAATAGGAGCCCTCCACTATTTTTTTTTTTATTACCGTGGTCTTCAGGAAACAAAGGGATGTGCTGAACAGGTTTCTTCCTTAGTTCCAGAACACAGTGTGATCATGACTACAATAAGCAAGCACTCAAATGTCAAGACTTTCACAGAAAAGCTGCTGCTGCTGCTGAACAGAGGAGGTAAGTGTTTGCGGCACTGTTAGGTGCCTGGCAGGGGGTGCAGCTAATGGTGGCTCGGTGAGATGAGCCCGGTGCTCGTTAAGAGGTGGGATGTGTCGGGGTGGGATCTGTCGGGGATGCGGGCAGCTGAGGAGCTGTTGGCTCAGGCAGGATGTGTAGCTTCCTGGTGCGTTGGTGAGGGTGACAGGCTGCATTGCTGGGGATGGAGCTGCACGGAGAATAAAGTGGTGCTGATGGCTTTTAGGAAGAGAGGAGAGGCCGCTGGGCTGCCATTTCCATGTACTTCTGGGTCGGATCAGCCCCAGGTCGCGGCGTGGCCGAGTGCAATGTAGGCAAGCTCTTCTCTGGGAGGAATGCTGGTCCTTGTGTCCTTGGACAGACAAGGCACCATCAGCGCTGGCACACAAACCTCAGCCTGTGCTGGCAATCATCTGCCCCGGGGGACGGATCCGGAGGGAGGTCTTGCCTTCCGAAATGCTGCTTAGAGTGGAACTTCCCATTTCAGCCTCGCAGGCAGAGAGTTAGCTTTGTCTGCTCCAGGTGTAGAGTGAAATCCACTGTACGTGTAGAGCTTTTGCAAAGCAGATTGCTAGAAAGCTGGAGATCTCCGCAGGAAGAGCAGTGCCAGATATGTCTGCCTGAGCTGCGTGCCACTATTGTGCTTTCTAATACCTTCTGGAGCACGGGGGCTTTGCTGCCTGAGATTCATTTTGTTGATTTGCTGGTAAATAACTCATCCTGTGATGCTTGCAGCTCATCTTACTCCGGCTTTAGTTCTCTTTGGAGTTGCAAATCACTGTCTCCACACTGTATCAGTTTGAGGGCAGCCGGCATCTCAGTGTTCTTCTGTCTGGCCTCCTCCCAAAGCCTTTGTTTAGCCCTTTCCCTGCCAGATTCCCTGCAGGGATCACCTTACTGTGAGGGGCTGGGGGAAGAAAGAGGGGGGGCCACAACATAATGAAGATACTTCTTTTTTTGCCTGCCTTCCTGACAATTGCTGAGGGGGGCTGCAGTGTCCCGGAGCCCCTCTTGGGGTCTGCAGGGACGTGTTTTGGAAGAAAACAGAATGTGGTGGCCTATTTAAAGTTAGAAGTGTTTCTTTTCTTGCTTCTGGGATGGTACTAGCCTGGTCTCCTTGGTGAAAGCTTGTTTCTGGTACAGGTTCTGAAGGACTTTTCAGAGGGGTCATTAGACCAGACTTTATAAACCAGGGAAAAAATGAGAGGTAGCTGTTGAGCAAAAAGGGGGGGCACTGAGAGGCATTGTGCTAATGAGCTCTCACCTGGCATGGTAGGTGAAACATAAACAATGATTAATGCTAATGCTAATGAGTTTGGTCTCGGCTTGGTACCCTGCAGAGCTGCCATCCTGACTGCGCAGCTTTGTGCAAGGGGCTGAGGTCTGCGGGCACAAAGGCTCGCCGCAGGCAGGGAGCGGGGGGGCCGG